GGTGCCAACAAGAGAGAGACCTGGGCCTGAGCAAGGAAGGCAGCCAGGAAGGGAGGAAGGACGGGGAGCCTGCCTGGGAGGCCGCCATGAGCCAAGGCAGCGGAAGAGGAGGAGGAGGGGAGCCCGAGGCCAAAACCCTCCACACCAAGAGGCTCTACTGGTGAGGAGAAGAGAGACCCTCAAGGGCTCTGGCATGCCTGGGATGGGCTCCCCAAGGCATTCTGGGACCCATCGTTTTTAATTTTAATATTACTTTAATTTTGTACCCGGCGTACTACACGACCCCCAACCTTTTATAAGGTTTTACATGCCTAAAAAGTCATCTAGTACCAGCTGAAAAGGAAGAGACTAAAAACAAAGAAAATCAGAGTATTTTGCTATTGAGAGCTGATGTTGTGTACCCTGAAGTCAAAATGGGAGCAACCCATGCACAAAAACAGACCTTCCTTCTGAAATGGTGGTTGATGTGTGGAGGGATGGGTATATTGTTTTTGTGATGTGTGTTGGGGAATGCATTTCCTTTTATTGTACAATGTACAGTGACAATAAAGTTATTCTATCATTCTAAATAAAAAAAAGTCACCTAGTACCCCGGAATATACGGTAAGTTGTCAACAGGGAAGGGGGAGCAGTAGATATAAGGAGGGAGAAGGGAATAAAAAAGGGGGAAAAGCATGGTAATTATGGTTACATATAAGGTTTTTTAAAGAATAAATTAAAAACCTGCAACAAATACATGATTCTATGCCTCTTGGCCTCTCTGGCCCTTAGCCAATGGTGCCAGTGGGTGTTGAGGGGCCCTCACTGAACCGAACCCTCTTCTTTCCTGGGAGACCAGGAGAACAGCCTGACCTTGAGAAGGAGATGGAAGAGCAGAACAACAACAAGAAGGAGCGCCTTCTGCCCCCTATAGCCATTGCGCCAGAGGAAGCCCTGCCTGGAGGCACCCCTCTGGCTCCTGCCGCCTCGCAAGTGGCACTGGCAGCGGAGGACATGCGACACCTGAGGATGGAGTGCAGCCTGGGCCTGGAGGTTGTTGCGCAAGCCTTGCTGAAGAACAGTGGGGAGGGGGAGTTGCGGCAGAGGCTACAGCGAATGTTTGGGGCAGAGAAAATGGCCAAACGAGAGGCTTTCTGGAGGAGCTAGCGCCGTAGACAGGACCCTCTGTCCCTCGCTTACAGAGGGAGGACCCAGAGCGACCAGCCTACCTTTCAGGGGCCCTTCTCCTGGCCTTGTTTTGTTGTCTTTTCCAAGAGGTGCCTCTAAGTCAGGCACAGGCCAACTTGAGTCCTTTTGGACTTCAACTCCCACAATTCCTGACAGCCGATTAGTTCACCAAAAAGCTGCTGCCTCTTCCGAATGCTCCCAAGCCACAGTCCATGCTTTGAAGGAGCCTCAGTCAAAGGGAGGATCCCTGCCAGCCTGGATTTAGAACTGGATGCAAAGGAGTAGGGTCAGGGTGGCTTTAGGATAGGCATGAGTCAACTTTGACCCTCCCTCTGGGTGTTTTGGACTTCAGCTCCCACAATTCAGATATTTACATTGCAATTCATAACAGTAGCAAAATTACAGTTATGAAGTAGCACTTAAAATAATGTTATGGTTGGGGTTCACCACAATGTGAGGAATTGTATTAAGGGATCACGGGATTAGGAAGGTTGAGAACCACTGGTCTAGAACATGCATGGGCCGACTTTGGCCCTCCAAGTGTTTTTAGAATTCAACTCTCACAGTTCTTACCAGACTCAGGCCTGGCTGTTAGGAATTGTGGGAGTTGAAGTCCAAAACACCTGGAGGGAGGGCTGAAGTTGGCCAATTCCTGATCTAAATGAGTGCAATACAGTTATGGAAATACTTATGTGTAACCTCTGCCGCAGCTTGTTTCTTAGTTTGTCATTGACCGACAGTGTCCCTGAGGCTGCCTTTTGTGTGTCTAATGCTCTGCTATCTAACACAAGGCCTCCCTCCACTGTCTGGACCCAGCAAAGGCCAGACTGCCTTCTGCCTGTTTCCTGCTCGGCTTCAAGAGGCTCCTCAGGCTGCCGCAGCATTTCTCTCTCTCTGTTCCTTGTGGAATTTACCCAAACTTCCTTGTCATTAAATATTAACTAGAAAAAGCCCAGTAGGCTTCTCAAAACAGAAGGGTTTACGATGGCACTTGAGCCCTCGTGAAGCAGAAAAATGTACAAAGCCTTTCATTCTTGCAGTCAGGCGTCTGTGTGTGTCTGACGAAGGATGGAGCCAGGAATTGTGATAACTGCGCGGCTCTCTCAATAGTGTCGGGTGACAACAAAGGCCTCCTTGCGTTGGTGAACTGGTTGGCTGGCTTTGTCCCTGTTCAAGCCACCAGAGACAGAAAGCAGCACCTCTTGATTGATGGTAGGCCTTTATGAAGCAAAACCGAGGATCCCCCTCCTCAGTATCCAAATATTCCCCTATTTTTGTTATCAGATCTGTGTCTAGTGCAAAGTGGAGGGAGGCGGAGGGACCACCTTCTCTTTCTGCCTTCATCAGGATAGAGCCAGGAGCCCCCGGTTCCAGCCCTTGGGCACCGCAGCAGCCGCCCAGCCTCTTTCCTTCCCAGCCGGACTGGGCCCTTGACCCTCTGCATAGTGCCCGGTCAAAGCCCTGCCAAGATCCTGTCCCGTTCTGCAGGGAGAGTGAGCAGAACACAATGGCTCAGGAAGACTCTTCTATTCTTCTAATTTATTTGCTTTAAACATTTCATTCTTTTTTTAAAAAAAGAGTTTCAGAGCGATTTGCAATAAAAAGAACCCTTTTAATAAAGCTGTCTAGAAATACCCATTGTACATGAAATTATCACATTTCCTCTTCTCTGCTTCAATTGGTGGAGTGCCCTGTTGCTCTCCAGGTGGGTTTGGGGAATTTTTAGGCTGGTGAGTGAGTGAGGGGAAGTGACATTAATCCATTGCAGGAAGGACATCCCAAAGACAACAAGGAGACCCATTGAGCATGACCAGGCATCATCTGTACTCCTGCAGGAGCCCATTTGGCTTCTTCATGACTGGCATATTTCACACCTCTTCCCCTTTTGGCTGGGCATTCCCGCACCCTCCCTGCTCAAACATTCATAATCTTCATCCAGGGATGGCTGCTTTAAGTGCCATTCTGCTTTTGTCTGCTTCATTTGTACCTTTTCTGCATCTGTTGGTTTGCACTCCAGCCCTTTCTTGCACCATAGGGACTCTTTTCCTAGACCAAATGCTGTGGTATCACCACTTCGGCTCTTGTTTTACCGTCATCCCTTCAGTGTTTTTTTCTCTCAGTTTTTCCACCTGAATTTAAGCTCTGGATCTTTTGTATATGAACCGCTGCTACTTATGAAAAGATTTAATGCCCAGTAACGCTTGTTGGTGTTTAAGGCGCCTCCGGTTTCTTTGTTGATTTTTCACAGGCACTCCAAATCCTCTTTCAGAGTAAATAGGTGAGTGTTTGCACTGGCAGAAAGAATCAAACATCACGGCAGACAGGAGGAGTCCTGCTGCTCCATATGGGACAGAGTGGGAGAGAGATCCTCCTTGGGACCCCCTCTCGGAGTGTGATGGGGGAGTAGGGAGCTTCATTCCCATGGCAATCATAGACAGGGCATGTCCATCCCAAGTGCTCCCTTGTGGAGCCTGAGAGCTATTTGTGGCCTCTTATGGAAGGGGGCTCTCGGTGGAGGTCCAGCCAGAGCCTTGCACCCATCCGTCCTCCCTCCGACTGCCCCCTTCTCAGCTGTTGGGGGCTGTCATTGCCGCTTCCCTGCCCTGTGGATCGGGGGCATCTAGAAGGCTCAGCCCCATGTCCTGCTGCTCCTCCTCAGAGGCCACTTGCTGGTAACCCATCAGACGCATGGCATCCTGGCAGATATCCTGCAGCATTGCTACCTGAGCATAAGGTAGGCCACTCCTCCAGGCTTGGGCCACATCCTCGGCGTCCCGGGCAGTGGTGTCAAAGGCTGCCCTGCCCAAGCCCGGGCCGTGGGTGATGTTATGGACCCACTCCTGGAGGGTGGGGGGGAAGTCCAGCCCCACAAAAGCATAGAGCTCAGCGGCTTTGGCCAGGGGGTCCCGGGCGATGTCCTCATAGCGGACCAGGTGGTAGCGGCCTTGGAGGGTGGAAGGGAGGATGCGCTGCGTTTCAAAGATCTCAACTTGGCTGTGGCAGACCTCCCGCATAACAGTGAAGGGCTCAGGCTCCTTTGGGAGGCCCCTTCCCCTGGAGACGATCCGGCTGCCCAGGGAGAGCGCAGGGGCCGTGCCGTTGCGGGTGCGGGAGTGGAAGACTGCCCGGGGGTCACGGACTAAGTGGATGACCCTGAGGTCAAGGGAAGGGTCAGTAAGAAGCGGGAGGAGGGAACGCAGGTCCATGATGCGGACCTCCTTCAGGGCGATGTGGCTGTAAGTCTGGCAGGCCTCCTCAATCGTGGAGAAAGGGTACCGGGCACAAAGGGGTCGGCAAGCCTTCTTGGTGACGATGTCTCCACGTTGGAAAGAGCTGCAGGCCGGCGGGGAGCAGAGGGCCCGGCTGGCCTCCCACTGGAAGAGCGTAGACTTGTTCCTCTTCTCGGGCATGTAGGCATCAAAGACGGACATGTCGCACTTGAAGATGGAGCGGACGAGATCCCTCACTGCCATGTGCAGGACCTTGACGTTGTTCTGGTGCATGGTGGCCCAAACATGCCAGGCCGGCTCCATCAGGTAGAAGACATCCGGGTGCTGGTTGAAGAGCTGCCCCACAAAAGAGGAGCCCGACCGCCAGGTAGATAGAATCAGGACATGGACATGCAAGGGCTGCTCATCTTCCAGATGGGGCTCCTTCCTCCCTTGGAATTCCATTAAGAAGCAGACGAGGACCAGCACCTGCACTGCCAGGATCAGGAGCAGCTGGAACCGCTGGATCTTCATCATGGCTGCCAAAGGCCTGGGAAATGGGGCAGTGGATGGGGAGAAATGGGGCAGAGGAAGGGAAGAAGGAAAGGGCTGCTGAGCCATGCTGTCCAATGCCACAAGGAAACCTTTCCCCACAAGACGGATGCTGATGACTGGGAACCACCCATTTACACTCTGGCCTTTGCAGGCTGTCTGTGCTGGTCCTCGGGGAGGGGAGTGGGCAAAGTAGGGTCTGTCCAGCCAACATGTCCCTCTGCTTCCTCCCCCCACTGTTCCAATCACTGCAGCTAATCCAGGAAAGCACCAAGAGCAATGGCTCCTTGTAACCCAGAGGAAATGGGAGGGTGACCTTTTGCTATTTGAGCAGCAAAACTCCGCAAGGAGGGAGGAAGTCCCCCCCCCCACCCACTCCATCACTGGCAGACCCCACTGCCTGCCCTTCCTTCCCTCCCTCCTTCCTCCCATCTATCTTCTGGTTTGGCATATTGGATTCAGCATCAGTAAAGGTGTTTTTCTTTTTGAAGGAGAGGGCTCACAGGTAAAGCGGGTACTCACTGGAATTGGCACAAGTTGGACAGGAGCTTCTCCAGACGTGGCAGAGGAAGGGCTGGCAAAACGGACCTTTGAAGGAGCGGCTGTGGCAACAGGTGTTGATCCTCCCACTGGCCCACCACGCCTGCAGAGGAGAGGTGAAGCAAGGAGGGGACGTCCGTCTCCCTTAGAGAGCATCCTCCTGCTGCAGGCTGGCATGTGGCCTGAGCCCAGCCCTGTCCGTGAGGGCGAGGCACTGGTCCGGTCCTGGAGGGATGGGCAGAATGGGGCCGGGCTGGTTCATTCGCCCCACTGAGCCCAGGGGCAGCATCCCCAGCAGGTGCTCAAGGAGCGCAGAGAGGGGCGGCCCCTGCCCTTTTCAGATGGGGGCTTCTGTTCAATGAGGGCCAGCCAGCTAGCCTTCTCTCAGGGGTGTTGCAGTGGGCCTGGATGGCCCTTGGGGTGCCCCGTCTGCAGGGGTCCAAAGTGGGACAAGGAAGAAGGCACCTCTTGACCTTTGCCATACCTCTGCTCAGCTTCTTTCCACCTTCCCCACAATTCCAATGTAGCAAATGGGTTTTTAAAAAAATAGAAGAGGAACTTGCTTCCTGCAGCTGAGAAAACATGAGAACTTTTTCAAATCCTGTGTAAAGTGTACTCCTTGCTGCCTATGACTTGGACTTGGAACACGGATCTTAAGTTGCTTGGGGGCTCTCTCCTCAATTGTCCACCTGTCAGTGGTTGACGCAACTTAAGACGCTTGCCCATAAAAGAGGGAAAGGCCAGCCAGAAGAGGAAGGAGGAAGGAGGAAACATTGCTGGGGGTTTGGAAGGTTGAGGGTGGGGGGAAGAAAATATGAGACCACTGCTTGCACCAGGTTTTTTTTCTCCATATGTTTATTCATACAAAAGTTACAATAACTTACAAATATGTCAAATAGGCAGAAGAGGGGCAGGGGAACAGCATCCTGAAAAGTGAGGGCCTGCAGAAAAGGACCATGGCCCTCCGCTCCCTTTGGTTCTGAGCTGGTGCCACATGGGGGGTGGGCTGCAGGGGCCACGACATTCTCCAACGGTGGTGCAGGGAGGCCCCTGGTGCACACGACTCAAGGCGGATGGAGTGGAGCAGGCCGGGGGCCGGTGAGGGGGTTGGTGGTGGTCCTGTGCTACTTGTCGCACTCCATGTCCTGGGCGCTTTCGTAGTGCTGCTCGCAGAACTGCCGGATGCGCTGGCAGGCCTCCGCCATCATGTCCTCAGGCACCGTGAGCACCACCCGGAAGAAGTTGGGGTACTCAAAGCACTGCGGGGATACAAGGTGGGGGTCAGATGGGAAGGGTTTTCTTCCTCTAGGCCAGTGTTTCTCAACCTGGGGATCTGGACCACTGGGTGGAATTGCAAAGGGGTTTCAGAGGGGTTGTCAGAGACCATCAGAAAACATATTTCTGATGGTCTTAGGAACCCCTTTGGCAGAGAAGGCTGAAGATCTCTCCACTTGTCCTCTTCCTTTTTGGAAACAGGTGGCAAATCCTCCCACCAAAAGCCCTTCTCCGCTGTGATTGGCTGGCCTCTCAGCCAAGGGGAGGGTTGTTTCTTATATTCCAAGCAGGGAGGGGAGAGCAGGCATGCTTGGCTCATGGCAGCATGGTGCGCATGTGCGGGCAGGGGAGAGTGTGCAAGGCTAGAGGAAGGCTCACACCAGCAAGTCTCTTCAATACATGGGGGTTCTGTGTGGGAAATTTGGCCTAATTTTATTGTTGGTGGGGTTCAGAATGTTCTTTGGTTTTAGGTGAGCTATAAATCCCAGCAACTGCAACCCCCAAATATCAAGGTCTATTTTCCCTAAACTCCACCAGTGTTCACATTTGGGCAGATTGAGTATCCGTGCCAGGTTTGGTCCAAAACCATCATTGTTTGAATCCACAGTACTCTCTGGATGTAGGTGAACTACAACTCCAAAACTCAAGTTCAATGCCCACCAAACCCTTACAGTATTTTCTGTTGGTCATGGCAGTTCTGTGTGCCATGTTTGGTTCAATTCCATCGTTGGTGAAGTTCAGAATGCTCTTTGATTGTAAATTAACTATAAATCCCAGCAACTACAACTCCCAAATGACACAATCAATTCCCCCCTCCCAACCCCACCAGTATTTAAATTTGGGCGTATCGGGTATTTGTGCCAAATTTGGTCCAGTGATTGAAAATCCATCCTGCATATCAGATATTTACATTACGATTCATAACAGTAGCAAAATTACAGCTATTAAGTAGCAACGAATATAATGTTATGGTTGGGGGTTACCACCCACAGGAGGAACTGTATTAAGGGGTCGAGGCATTAGGAAGGTTGAGAAACAATGCTCTCGGCGGCCCATGGCTGCACGGGGGACACTGCCTTGCCCCCCCCCACCCCAATACACACACACACACACACACACACACACACACACAATGCCCCTGTATCTCATCTTGGGCAGCAGAGTCTGCTATGGCAGCCTCCACCCAAGAGCCACTGCTGGAGCACGGGCTCCAAACTAGCCGTCTTGCATCCAGACAAGGCCTGCCTGCTCCCCGACCCATATAGCCATTGGGGGTGGGCTACATGGGTGCTAGGGCCTCCCCTTGCTTGGAGAGGGTGCTCACCGTTGCAGGCAGGCAGAAGACCGACTGCTCGGAAATAAGTCGTTCCGTGAACTCCACGTCATTCTCGAACTCGGGGAAATGCTCCATCTTGATGCCAACCTGCGGGAGAGGAGGTGACTGAGCTCTGGGTGGCCCAAGAGAGGTGGCTGTCACCATGACAGCTCCCCATGAGTTAGTGGTTGCCTCCTGTTCCGCTGAAACTTACCATGAGGTACATGGCTCCCGAGGGCCGGACTGGCCGTAGCCCACAGATGGTGGAGAGCGCAGAATAGCAGAGGTCAGCATTGGACTGTGGAAGAGAAAGGAAAGGAACGTTTTGTGGGCAATGGAGACAGAGCCTGGGCAGGGCAGGAAATCCTGAGAGGACGATTCCTGTGATTCCAAGGACCCTCCAACCATGAGACCTCAAAAGCAGCGTTCCTACTGCCCACCAAGCCGCAGCCCATCTTCCTCCTCCTCTGGTGCCCATGGACACTCACAAAGGGGTCTGCTGAACCTGTCCACAACTCCAGCCTTGCTTTTGATTTGCTTAGGAGTTCAATACACTAAAGCATCCAGTTGCTTCCTCCTGAAGAATACTGGCTATTGTAGTTTAGTGAGTCCCAGGACCTGCCTGGCTGAGCAATTTATAGGCCCCTCCCTAAACAATAAACCCCACCATTCTTCAGGAGACAGCAACTGGATTTCAAGTGGATAGATGCTCTAGTTCGATGAGGTCCTTCGTTTGCAGAACTTGATACTGCAACCCATTCCCAGCAAGGAGATGTCTTGAGAGCATGGTGTGTGTGTTACCTTGAGGAAGCTGAGGGTGTTTTGGTAGAATTCAGAGGGGGTCCGGTGCATGATGTGGGCAAGGGCCCCTTGGACCACGGTGCAGGGCCCCAGGATCCTCTGGCTCAGCCGCAGGAGGCCATCCCTGATCTGGAAAGGGGCAGAGATGAACTCAGTGGGGCCCTGTGATGGCCAGGTCCCCCCCTTCTGGTGACACCAGAAGAGCACCCACATTCGGGAGGGGACGGGGCAGGAGTGCGGTCCCCAACCTACCTCCTTCCCAAAGATTTCCCTGCGGTCGTGGATGTGGATCCAGCCCATCCTCCAGCCGGGCACCAGCCACCGCTTGGCCAAGCCTCCACAGGACAGGATGGGCACGTTGGTGCTGAGCTTGGCCAGAGACTCGGACTGCCCTTCTTCAAAGACCTGTAGAGGAATCCAGGGCATTGAATGTTTGCCTGTGTCTGTATATATGCTGGAATCCGCTGAGTCCCCCCTATAAAGTATTATATTTATTATTTATTTTTATTTACCACATTTATATCCCGCCCTTCTCAATCCTGAAGGGGACTCAGGGCGGCCTTACAAAGGCAACAATTCACGGTACACCAAGGATAGACTACTGCAACATGCTCTATGTGGGGTTGCCTTTGAAGACTGTTTGGAAGCTTCAAGTGGTCCAAGTCCAACCCCCTGCCATGCAGCCAGATTACTAATTGGGACAGCGTACAGGGAGCACACAATTCCCCTGTTGCGTCAGCTTCACTGGCTGCCAGTCTGCTACCGAGCACAATTCAAAGTGCTGGCTTTACCCTATAAAGCCCTAAATAGTTCCAGCCCAGCTTACATATCTGAACATATCTATGATTCACCTCAGAGATTAAGATCTTCTCAGGAGGCCCTGCTCTCGATTACACCTCCCTCGCAAGCGCAATTGGTGGGAACGAGAGACAGGGCCTTCTCAGTGGTGGCCCCTCAGCTATGGAACTCCCTCCCTAGTGGAATTAGAGCAGTCCCCCTCTTTCCTGACCTTCAGGAAGAATATAAAAATAGGCTATGTGACCAAGCCTTCAGACAGAAAAGTTCTTAGTGCAATAAGAGAATAAGAAATAGTGAACGGACTAATGGAATGATTACAGATTTGATTTTGGATGGAGTGATTTTAATAACTGTTTTAAAATCATGTTGTTTATAGGTAGGTTTTAATATAAATGTTATTGTATTGTTGGTGTTTTAATGTTTATGTTTTAATATGGTTAGCTTTTTTATTTATAGTTATATGTTATTGTCTAGGTATTATGTTTTGGTTTTCACATGTATATAGGGCATAGAATTTTGCCTTTATGATGTTTGAAACCACTTTGAGTTCCCTCAAGGTGAGAAAAACGGTATATAAATAAATTATATTCTTGAAAGGTCTGGAGTCTAGTGTCTAGACTGAGAGAAATCATGTTGCCTTTGTATTCTGCTTTGGTCAGACCTCTACCTGGAATCACACTGTGTCCAGTTCTGGGCCCCACAGTTCAAGAGAGATATTGACTCTAAGCTGGAAGGAATCCAGAGGCAGAGCACTACTAAAAGGATCAAGGGTCTAAGGACCCTGAATCCCTATGAGGAACGTCTTAAAGACCTCGGTCTGTCTAGCCTCAGAAGAGAAGGTTGCGAGGAGACATGACAGCAATCTATAAATTTGTGAAAGAGTGTCATAAGGAAGAGGGAGCAGGCTTGTTTTGGAAACTAGAGCTCAGAGCAATGGGTTCAAATGACAAGAAAGGAGATTCCACTAGAACATTAGGAAGAACTTCCTGACTGTATGAGCCATTCAACAGTGGAACTCTCTGCTTCAGAGTCTGGTGGAAGCTCCTTCCATGGAAACTTTTAAATGGAGACTGGATGGCCATCTCTCAGGGATACTTTGATTGTACTTTTCCTGCATGGCAGGAGGTTGGAATGGATGGTCAATGTGGTCTCTTTCAACTCGAAAGCCAGCCTGCTGGCCTGCCCTTTCCAAGTGGGAGTGGTCCTCCTCCTTCAGGAGAAGTGCCCGCAGGACGGAGCTGCTCCACTCACCATCTCGGCATAGATCTCATCAGCCAGGATAGGGATGCACTGCCGGGAGGCCACTGAAAGAGAGATAGAAGGGGGAGAGAAAGGAAGAACGGACTTTGGTCAGTGGCAGAGAAGGATCCCTGGGCACTGGTCACCCTCCTGCCTTGCTGCCACACCTGTAGACAGTCTGGCCTGGCTGCTGGGAGGCAAAGCCTGGTCAAGAGCTGCCTGGGCCACCCTTCTGCTTCCCCAAGTGGAGTCTGGCCTGGCATTGAGTGCCGCCCTTCTGCTCCTTGGCCTGCCCACCATTCTCTCACCTGCCAAGATCTTCTGGAGGTGGGCCTTGCTGAAGACAGAGCCGCAAGGATTGGAGGGGTTGTTGACCACCAGGCAAGCTGTCTTCTCATCCACCAGGGACTCCATCTGCTTCAGGTCAATTTCCCAGGATTTCTCTGGCTGGTCAGGAGGAAAAAGAAGATTGAGGAAGAGAGCCACAGGAGGTGCCTCGCCTAGTCAGAAGGACCAGATCAAGGAGCACTTTTGTCCCTTGTGCCATTCCCATCGGGGGAGTGAGGAGAGGCACGCAACACCACCCCCCCCCCCCCCCATTGCCCCCAAGATGCACACAACTTACCAGGAGGTCGTAGAACTTGACCTCGATCCCCATGGAGTGAGCCAGGGTCTTGTAGAGTGAGAAGCCCGGCCGTGGCACCAGAATGTTCTGCCCAGGGTTGGCCAAAACAGCAAGGGACAACTCGATGGCCTGACTGCAGCCACTGGTCAAGATTACGTCCTGGAAAAGGGAAGGGGGGCAGGAACAGTGACAATGAAATGGGGAGCAGTTCAACGGGGCAAGAAAGGCAGGTCTTCATCTGCCATGCCCCTTCAAAGGGAGGAAAGGTGTGCCCCCCATTGCCCCCCCTTACTGTGCCAGTCTGCCCTACCTGGGCTTCGAGGGGTGCTTCAGGGCAGCTGTAGTACCTTGCTACCACCTCACGGCTGGACAGGTAACCTGTGTGGAACGGCTGAGGGTCAGCAAAGGGGCTATGATAACGTAGCCTTCCACATAGCAGGCAGGTGGGAGGGAGAGTGGGGGCTTTGAGGCCAGGAAGGGAAGGGGTTCCAGGTCTTCTGATCCCCAAGTGGAGCTCTGACACACACACACACACACACACACACACACACACACAGAGCCCTCCAGCTCCCATGGGTCTTGGATCTTATCACAAAACATTCCTCCTTCCCCCTTCCCAACAATAATTGGCTTGGTTTTGCCCCAGGAGTGGGGACATGGGGTACTGGAGGTCCTCTGCTTATGTGAGTGCCTTGTGGGTGAGTGTCATGGGACCCCGTTGCCCTTCCTGCAGTATCCAGTGGGGTCCTACCTGTGGAAGGAGCGTAGCCGTCGTACTTCCCAGAGTCCAGGGCTGCCTTCATGGCCTGGGTGACCTGCTCATCTGTGGGCAGGTTTCCAAAAACCGTAGGGTCCCCTGGGGACAAGAGATGGCATCTGAGGGAGCTCCCGGTTGGCTGCAGAAGGCAGCAAAGCCTTGCCCCCCTCTGCCCCCCTCCTGTCTGCACCCTTTGCTTGCTCACCGATGGATAGGGAGATGAGGGGCTTCTGCGGGTGGGGCTCCACCTTCATGCTGTCCACAATGGCCCGGATGGGGTTGAAGGTCCGCTTGGACATCTCAGAGGCCCGGACGGCCCAGTGGGGCTTGCGGTGTCCCTTCCCCTTGCTAGCCACGGCCCGTCCGGCCCGTCCGAGCTGGACATCCAACACGGAGGGGAGGTCCGCCTTGCCGGTCACCTGAATCAGGTATGAATCCATTTCTGGGAAGGAGAGGGAGGCCTATTTGCTGCTCCAAGAGGACCAGTGCTACCTGGGTCCAGTCCTGACTTGGTCCAATGCCTCTGGTGCTTCTGGAGATCAGAGGTGGACGGAGGGGGTAAGAGCCCTTTTATGGGGGTAGCTCCAGAGATCCCTTTGCCAAGAATTGGGTGTCAGCCTGCAGAGCGGTGGCCATTGGCTGGTGGGGAGGGCCCTGGGAGACACCCCCGACCCAGACAGAGGGGAGGGAGGGGGGAAGACAGAGGAGGAGGAGCCCCCCATTTGGAACAAACACTGTGGTTGTACATTAACCCCTGGCTCCCTCTCCCAACCCTCTCCCCTTCTGGAGCACACTCTGGGCAAGGAAAGGGGGCTCCTAGCCAATGGTGCAAAGCAGGGTTAGCAGGGGGTGGTCCAGGGGTACAAGGTAGGACCCCTTTGCTTTGGCCAGGGCCACACATCCACTGCCCAAAGGGATGAATGTCCAATGGCCTGACCGTCTTTGGGTGATGGGCAGAAAGGGCTAGGTGCTCATGTCAGGTTCCAGGTGCCCCCCACTCTTCCCCAATCTGCCATAATGGACCCTGAATCCTTCCACCCATCTGCCACATCACAGGGGCCCCAATTGATGGAGGGTGGAAGGGGCCCCAGAACAAGAGCAGCACAGAGGCCTCCTATTGCTGGGGTGGGAGTAATTGTGGGGCACAAAAGAGTGCAACATAGATGTGTGCCTGACCCACAAGTCACGCAAGGAACAGAACCTCCTAGAGCGGGCATGGGCCAACTTCAGCCCTCCTTCTAGGTATTTTGGACTTCAACTCCCACCATTCCTAACAGCCTCAAGCCCTTTCCTTTCCCCCCTCAGCCGCTCAGTCCAAAATATCTAGAAGGAGGGCCAAAGTTGGCCCATGTCTACCCTAGACCACCATCCCACAGCCAATTCTAGGCACATTACAAGCACCACTATCGCCATTATTACTATAATCCTGCAGTAATTAAAAAACAATAATATTTGCCCCAGATGGAGTCCTTTCTTCAGTCCTGTGGGGGCCAAGCTCCCCCCCCCCCCCCGTGGTGCCATCAGACCACTGGCAAATGACGCAGATCTGGCCATGGCCTTGAGGTGCCCAGCTGCCCCCCCCCCCCCCCCCCGCCTGCGAATGGTCAGAGGCCGTGCCCCGTACATGATGCAACCTGGGGAGCTCTGGGCCCCTCTGCTGGAATTGCGTCAGGCGTGCGGTCAGTGGAAGGACTGAGGGGGGAGGAAGAGGGCAGAGCAGACCCTGGCACAGCTCCTCAGTGCCTCCTGGACCTGGTTGTGTGGCCAGAGAAGAAAGAGGGATTCATATTGTGTGGAGGAGTCCCCCAACAGATGCACGTACACAAACCCAGCCCAGGTGATTCTCAAGGTGAAACCCCACCCCTTGGACCCCTTGGACTGGCTCCCTGGCTCTGCCCAAAATGCCTAGCTAAAACATGGTCTAGCACAGGCATAGATAAACTGCGGCCCTCCAACTCCCACAAGGTTTGGACTCCAACTCCCACAAGCTTAGTGGGAAAAGGAAGGGCCCGAGGATGTTAGGAATTGTGGGAGTTGGAGTCCAAAACACCTGGAGGGCCAAAGTTTGCCCATGCCTGGTCTAGCACATAGAACAGCGTTTCTCAATTAGGGGTTTTTTAGAGGGGTCTTCAAAGACCATCAGAAAACACATATTTCTGATGGTCTTAGGAAGCCTTTGGTAGCAACTACAACTCTCAAATGATAAAATCAATCCCGCCCCCAACCCTGCCAGTATTTATATTTCAGCATATCAGGTATTTGTGCCAATTTTGGTCCAGATCCATAGTTGTTTGTGTTCACAGTGCTCTCCGGAGGTAAATTCACTACATCTCCTCTAAATCACGGTCAATTTCTCCCAAATCAATCCAGTATTTTCTGTTGGTAATGGGGCTTCTGTGTGGGAAGTTTGGTCCAATTGTATAATTGTTGGGGTTCAAGTAGCTCTTTTGATTGTATATGAACTATAAATCCCAGCAACTCCCAAATGTCAAAATCTATTTCCCCCAAACTCCAGCAYTGTTCACATTTGGACAGATTGAGTATTGGTACCAAGTTTMGTCCAGATCCATCATTGTTTGAGTCCACAGTGCTCTCTGAATGTAAGTGAACTACAACTCCTAAACACAAGGTCAATGCCCACCAAACCCTTCCAGTATTTTCTGTTGGTCATGGGAGTTATGTGTGCCAAGTTTGGTTCAATTCCATCATTGGTYGAGTTCAGAATGTTCTGTGATTGRAGTTGAACTATAAATCCCAGCAATTACAACTCCCAAGTYACAAAAAACAAACCCAACCCCATCAGTATTAAAATCTGGCCGTTATCGGGTATTTGTGCCAAATTTGGTCCAGTGAATCCTGCATATCAGATATTTACATTACYYTTCATAACAATAGCAAAATGACCGTTATGAAGTAGCAACMAAAATAATMAGGAACTGTATTAAGGGYTTGCGACATTAGGGAGGTTGAGAACAATTGACCCAACGCCTTCCTCTGCCAGGAAGGAGGTTGCCATGGGCCCCTCTCCCTCTGCCTGCCTGACCTCCCCCCGTCTGCATTTGCCCTGAAGGCACACAATGGGCCAAGGCCTGGCTGAGATAACATGGAGAYYCAACCAAAGAGATMGCCCTCCTGGCCTTGAGAGCCCCTCTCRCCYCCCTCTTCGCCCCGCTGGGGCACAGTTGTGTAACTTGGGGTCAGGGAGGGAGGGGGGAAAGYGCAGRTTTGYRCAGGAAAGGCCAGGAGCCACTCTCCYGGGCTGCACCCCCCATGCCTGCCAAGCAAAAGTCAATATTGGCCAATTGCCTCTGTTTGCTTTCAACCCTCCTTTGCTGCCCATAATGAGAAGGAGCAAAGCCTCAGCCCTTTCTCTCCTGCTGCCATGGCCTTGGGGCAGACAGGGGCCCAGCAAAAGGGTATTGATGTCTGTGTGTGAAGGAGTGGGCAGTGGAGATGACCCATCTGAGACTTGGAGAGGTCAGCAGCCTAGGGAGGACACTGACCACCACCCCCCCTTTCAGGACTCAGGAATGGAAGTTTCCTGGATGGAGAGGCAGAGAGGGCAGCCTTCACTCTCTTCTTTGTCTTGCTTTGACAGTTCTTTAATCCTTCTTAATCCTGTTTAGATACACCTTAATGCTAGGATGCAAGGTAGAGAGGGGCATGGGAAGATAGGAGTAAGCCCTTCAGTAAACAGCAGGGAGGTTACTTGTAGGAGGGGAGGAGATGGGCCAGCTTGAAAGGTGGATTAGGCCAGTTTTCATGGCTGCCAACATAACTGCCTACCCCCCCCCCCAATAAGGGCCAGGATATTTGGGGAGGACTGGTTTTGCTCATCCTCCCTCTAGGTCTAGGACAGTGTTTCTCAACGTGGGGATCTGGACCCCCGGGGGGTTGTGAGCAGGTTTCAGAAGGGTGGCCAAAGACCATCAGAAAATATATATTTTTGATGGTTTTAGGTAGTTGTTCTCATCTTTGGGTCCTCAAATGATTTGGCCTTCAACTCCCAGAAATCCTAACAGCTGGTAAACTGGCTGGGATTTCTGGGAGTTGTAGGCCAAAACACTGGGGACCCACAGGTTGAGAACCACTAGTCTTAGGAATCCTTTTGGCTTAGTTGTTTGGGCTCACAGTGCTCTCCGGATGTAGGTGAACTACACCTCCCCTAATCCACTGTCAATTCATCCTAAATCCCACCAGTATTTCCTGTAGGTCATGGGGGTATCTGTGTGGGGTGTTTGGTCCAATTCCATCACGGTGGAGTTCAGAATGCTCTTTGATTGTAGGTGAACTATAAATCCCAGTGACTACAACTCGTAAATGTCAAGGTCTATTTTCCCCAAACTCCACCAGTGTTCACATTTGAGCACACTGAATATTCATGCCAAGTTTGGTCTGGATCCATCATTGTTTGAATCCACAGTGCTCTCTGGATGTAGGGGAACTACAACTCCAAAATCCAAGGTCAACACCTTAATTCCCTCGTTGGTGGAGTTCAGAATGCTCTTTGATTGTAAGTTAACTACAAATCCCAGCAACTCCCAAATGACAAAATCACACACACACACCCCGAACCCCACCAGTATTCAAATTTGGGCGTATCGGGTATTTGTGCCAAATTTGGTCCAGTGATTGAAAATACATCCTGTATATCAGATATTTACATTGCAATTCATTGTTGTTTATTTGTTCAGTCGCTTCCAACTCTTCGTGACCTCCTGGACCAGCCCACGCCAGAGCTCCGTTGGCTGTCACCACCCGCAGCTGCTTCGGAGTCAACGTAGTCACTTCAAGGATGCCATCCATCCATCTTGCCCTTGGTTGGCCCCTCTTCCTTTTTCCATCAATTTCCCCCAGCACCATTCTCTTCTCCAAGCTTTCCTTTCTTCTCATGATGTGGCCAAAGTAATTCAACTTTGTCTCTAATATCCTTCCCTCCAATGAGCAGTCGGGATTTATTGCGTGAAGTATGGACTGGTTGGATGTACTGGTGGACCAAGGCACTCTCAGAACTTTCTTCCAGCACCACAGTTCAAAAGCATCTCTCTTCCTTCGCTCAGTATTCCATGTGGTCCAGCTCTCACATCCGTAAGTGACTACGGGGAAGACCATTGTTTTAACTATGGGGATCTTGGTTGCCAGTGTGATGTCTCTACTCTTATCAAGATTGGTCACTGCTCTCCTCCCAAGAAGTAGACGTCTTCTGATTTCCTGGCTGCGGTCTAATCTTTGCACCTAGAAATACAAAGTCTGTCACTACCGCCACGTTTTCTCCCTCTATTTGCCAGTTATCAACCAGTCTTGTTTTATTTAATGTTTAACTGCAATCTAGCTTTTGCACTTTCTTCTTTCACCTTGATTAGAAGGCTCCTCAGTGGCTCCTTGCTTTTGGCCATCAAAGTGGTATCATCTGCATATCTAAGGTTGTTGATGTTTCTTCCAGCAATTTTAACTCCAGCCTTGGATTCGTCAAGCCCTGCACATCGCATGATGTGTTCTGCATACAAGTTGAATAGGTTGGGTGAGAGTATACAAACCAGCCGTATGCCTTTCCCAATATT